GTATTTTGCAGGACGGAGCTCATCATGCTGAAAACTTGCGCGTATAGGACCAATATCAACCAAATGTTGTGTCAAAATGTGCATGAGTTCAGTGCTGCAAGAGCCATTAGCTTTGTTTATAATTCTTTCTTGAACAGCGGTTTCGACGTCGTAGATATAGATTTGGGCATATGTGGGATGCTCCCCTTCTGACGGTTGAAAGGTGCCAATTGAGTGATAAATTGTGTCGTGCACCTTATACATGAAAGGCCCTCCACCGTTATGTTCTTTAATTTTAGCTCGAGTGTTGACCATTGCGAGCGCAGAGTTGTATGATCTAATGTTCTATTTGTAGTTTCTGCTCAAATGATTTGCTCCATTAAGTAGGCTCTGGATATAATAGCTTTCTCGGTATGGTGGAAGATTCACTTTTCCTTTATGGCAGCAGGATGAAAATCCTTCGCCTCGTCCTCTTTGTTCTTTAAAATGTAACGCACCACATTTCTGACATTTTAATGCCATCTCGCCAAGTGAATGCTGCTGAGTTCTTTTATTTGTCAGTGTAATTTTGTAAGTACACGTTGCCACTAACTGTTCCAGCTCCTCGTCTGGGGTCCTTATACGTTTTGAATTGCTTGAGTATTTGCACCGTGTCCGACCGGCAATATTTCTTTGTCGTCGGGTCCTTGGCATATTTAAACGAAAATAAAATGTAAAACTTTTCTCCAGTCGTGTCCTCTAGGTAACATTCCTTTGCCGGGTTTCTAATTATTAAAAAAAAAAAAAACATGCAAACTGTTTACATTTCAAAACCAAACAAAACAGCTGGGATTTTTTAAACTTATATAGGCTATATTGACATCTGTTTCAGAATATAATAACATTCAAATCAATCACAATGTTATCCTTATGGAAGGAACTTTGAGGGCAGCCCACGCCCTTAAAAAGATATATTTCGAAAATCTAAAACCAGTTTGCACATCTACACACCTAGACGAACATTTTGGTATATAACATGTGGGGTTAAATCTTAAAACAAAAAAGCCTTATTGTTCACAAAGTTTCATGTCGCGTATCTATATATCGATGGCTTCATTCTAATACCACGTATCTCCAAATTTGGCCATTTTTAGTTATTCACATAATTTTGTCCCTGAAGTTTCCCTGCATCGAATGTTGCGGATGAGAAAAAACATATAGGAGGGGAAACTCATTAAAAACTGGTAAATATTGTACCACGTATCTCGCATGTGGCATAGTGATGTGACGAGTCGAGTACTTGACTCGTTAAGTATCGAGTCCAATGAAGTATCGAGTCGACTCGATACCAAATCGGCGATACTCGAGTACTATTACTCGTGAACTAAAGCTTGCTAGATCCGCCGCTACGAGTCCATAGCGCTTGGGTTGGGTGCATTTAATACTCGTCTAGAGTACTCGAGTCGAGACTCGGATGTTGTTCCAGATTTTGCCACTACGAGTCGACAGCGCTTGTATGCTTGACATTGACAGTTCGTATTAATACACTGCTAGAATGTTCAAGATATAGTTTCAAAACTATCCGCTACGAGTACATAGCGCTCGAGTAATTTGCTTACTCGAGTCAAGACACTGTTTGTTATTAATCTAAGTTTTATAAAATGAATAAAATCCATAATCAATTATCAACTCAATGTGAGATGAATCGCTCTCATCTTAAATCTACACAGAGTATAAAACGAGTCCGAGCCAAGTCTGTCTGACTCACTGAGCTAAAATTATAACAGGAGGTAGCACTGCCATGGCAGAAGTCTGTCAAAAGCGAGTCGCTGATTTTGTTAGGTTGGTATAGCAGTAAGTTTTCTTACCATAGCAATAACATGGCTTCTTATAACTAGGTTGGTATAGCAGTGAGTATTTTTGTCATACTTGAATACTTTTAATACTTTAATAATTTTCTTTGAAATGGCGACCATACAAAGTAGGTATTTTAAGCCAAGTATAATAATAGTTATAGCAATAATATGGCTTCTTATGACACCAGACTCACGCAAACATGGCGGCTGGCGACACGCATCTTTGACATTCAGTGCTACCTCCAGTTAGAATTATAGCTCAGTGGTCTGACTCGAGTAAAGGGACTCGAGTCCGAGTCAAACAAGTTCCATTTCCAGTATTCGCACGGCAGCTACGAGTCAACAGAGCTTCGGTGCTATACAGGTAAGAATCGAGTCCAGTACTCGAGTACCGACTCGAGTAGTTGTGGTATCGAGTCGAATTGACTCGAGTAGGGAAAGTACTCGACTCGTCACATCACTGTGGCACATTGTGGCAAAACTGACTTCTAATAACACGTAACTCAAAATGTTACATAATAAAGTAATGGGATAATCAGCTGGGTTGGTAAACAGATGTAAAATGCGTGTGTTTACAACTGTTACTAAACAAATACACTTTAATTTTAGGTTAGTTAGTTCCATTAATATGTCTTAAAACTAATTATTACTTTCAATTGTGTCTTCAAACTTATAAAGAATATTATATTTCACATAAAAAGTGAGGTAGGAGATACCTGTTATTAGAATAGTGCAGTTATTTGAGATACGTGGTATTACTCCAGATCCAGATCTAATTTTGTGACACTAGGTGGATGATTTTTATCAATTCATATTGTAAGAATTAATTATAGCCTACCTACAGTAAATGAATAGGTTTAGAAGATGGCATCAGACAGTGATGATGAATTTGTAGATTCAGTGTTAAATGTTTTGAAGAAGGAATCTTCATCTACACTCATAAGTAAGTAGCTATTAATTACTGTTTGATTTGTTGGTTAACTTATTCGTTTTATTCTGTATCACATAATTGATTGTTTTATAGCCTATTTGATGTAACCCTATAACTTAATGGAGTTTTATAGGTGGCATATCAGCATATAAACCAGTAAACTTATGATACACCTTTAGGCTTACTGAGTACTTGGTGACCGAACAAAATATTAGAGCGTAGGCCTAGTTGAGATGACAAACATGTACAAGGCTGCTTGGTGTTTTATTGTTCTTTTCCAGGAGTTCTTCATGTCAGTAAAATGCCATTTAAATCTCTATAACTGGTAAGCTTAGCCATAGATACGACGGATACAAATTCTCTAATAAATACAGGCCTATTATCATGCTAAAACCCAGTCTGTTTCTAAATCTATCTGCTTCAAACAATAAAGTTTTTTATTGAAGTGCAGCCTAGGGCTTCCCTTTCACAATCAGCCTTATCTAGAAAATGATAGCTAATTTAATGTCAGTATGGTACATGACCTGATTGTGTAGTTGAAACACTTAAACTAACTTGTACCTGATTCATAAATAGATTTTTCTAAGCGGTTGTTTGTTTACAGGAGTAGAGCCAACCAGGGCAGCTAGGCCTAGTATTTATATTGACAAGGAAGAAAATGAAGCTCAAATTGAAAATGATAAAACAGGATCAAAACCTACTAGAGAACTAAATCAAACAGTAATGTTGGTGGAGTGTTCAGCTGAGGTAACATTGACGGAAGGTTTGACATTAAGTGATATTGTTAATAACAGTTTAGAAGTCATTGATGAGACTATCAATGAAGCTGATGAGATAGGCCTAAGTGACATTTCTTTACCTTTAGAGTCAAGTGTTTCGAATGTTACTGGTACATGCGATGATTTACTTAAGGATCCAGATTTTTTCCCTGATTTGTCTAATTTGGATTCAGACTCAGAAGATGTTGATGACCCAGGAATCCCTGCTGACGTAGGCCTATTAAGTAGTTCGGACTTGGACAACAACATCATTGAATCCCCGGAAACTCCACCTGATATTTTGAATGTCGTGTCTAATAGACAAAATGAAAACAACGTAAGTGATAATGATAACTGTAAAAGGCGCAAAAAGGCTGAACCCGATAAATGGGAAGTAAATGTTACAAAAAGGAAACGTATGTTTGGACAACAATATAACGGGTTCAAAAGAACTAAGACTGACAATGGAAAAATGATAGTTACCAGGGGTCCCGAAAAAGAAAATAGAAAGGTAGGCCCACCATGCACCTCAGATATTTGTAAAAAAAGCAAAAAAAGACATTGTGAAAATTTTTCTGATGAGGACAGAAATATTATTTTTAAAGAATTTTGGAACATGACATGGAAAGAGAAACAAGTCTATGTTAAGACACTTGTATCTATAACTACGCCTAAAACAAGAAAAGGGAAAGACCCAACAAGGCGATCAGGAACTTTTTATTACCATTTGAAACACAAAGGAATTACTAGACCAGTGTGTAAAAAGTTTTTTTTAAACACTTTGGGAATCAAAGAGTGGATGGCTCATAACTGGGTTGGTCTTAAGAAAAACAGAGAAGACCTTACAGCAGTCACCGATACTCAAGATGACATTGAAAATTCAAGCACTCGATGTAATACGGAAGAAACCCCTGTAAAAAAAGGGAGACTTTCTGAAAAAAAACTAGTGATCGAAGAATGGTTGAATGAACTTCCGAAACTTCCAGCTCATTATTGCCGTAAGGATTCCAAGAAACTGTATTTAGAACCAATATGGGACACAAAAGTTGCCGTTTATAATAAATACAAGAACGATTGTATTTCACAAAACAAACAGTGGTCAAGTAAAGCCATGTTTTTTGAGATATTTGACTCCAAGAATATTGCTATCTACACCCCTCGCAAAGATCAGTGTGATTTGTGTTGTGGTTACAAGTCAGGGAATGTTCCCGCAGAAATTTGGCAGGCCCACATAACTGAAAAAGATTTGGCAAGAAAAGAAAAAGAAATAGATAAACAATTAGCTTTAGATGGAAAAATCCACTGTCTTACAGCAGATGTACAAGCTGTAAAAGTGACGCCATATTCGTTAGCAAGCGCAATGTATTATAAGACCAAACTCTGCAACCACAATTACCGGTACACTGTGTATAATCTATCCACTCACCACTGTACTTGCTACTGGTTTAGCGAGGTTGAAGGAGACTTATCCGCAAACTCGTTTGCTACTTGTCTTATTAATTATTTAGAAGAGCAATGTATGGATCCCCCTTTGCCGATTGTTTTGTACACAGATGGCTGTACTAATCAAAACAGAAACCAGTTCTTGGCTAATGCCCTACTTCATTTTTCGAAGCAGAATAACGTTGAAGTTACTCAAAAATTTTTAATAAAGGGCCATACACAAATGGAGGGGGACTCTGTCCATGCTTTGATAGAACGAAAATTAAAAAACAAGGAAGTCTACTCGCCTTACGAGTTGGTGAAGTACACAAAAGAAGCACGCGAAAAGCCTTTTCCATATGAAGCAAAATATTTGTATAACGATTTTTTCAAAGACTTTTCAAAAATCAGCTACTACGACTCTATACGCCCTGGAAGAAAAACAGGTAAGCCTAAAATGTATCAAATTTAAATTCCAACTAAAGGTATGATTAAATTTTTTTTTCAGTACATGCAGCGCAATAATCTTGGACCCATGCATCGCCTAAAAATAGGTGTGCAATGTAGTAAGTGTATAAAGCCAGCCAATCGCTATTTAGCTCTTCAATACCAATAGGATAGTTAGTTGTAATAGTAGGGCTACCCATTACATTTGAGACATTTAAAACTTTAAATTCTTCAAAGTTTTTAAAAGCGATTGACTTGTAGTGTTTTTACAGTGTAAGAACAATTAACCAGTGAGTGTTTCGAGATTATACATCAGCTTGTCAGTGAGATAAAAAAATGAATGTGGATGTGTTAATAACCGTATTATAATACACTGCCTAGCAAAAGCCTAAGCAACCTAAAATGTTATTGATTTTTGTAGGTGATCCAGTTGTCACTGACATACATGTACTTAAGTACAAACCTGAGGGGAAAATCATGTACAAAATGAATTATGATGATGCCTATAAAGATTTGCCGAGACGACCCCAGAACGTGGACCCTAGCTCTAAACCAGGAGCCCTGTACAAAGGCAGACTTTCCATAACAGAAAAAAAGTACAAGCATCTGCAAGAATTAAAGGCTGTCATCCCCAGAGAATATCATAGTTTTTATGAGAATTTACCCTACAAATAGAAACTCTCACTCAAACAGAAAAGTTAATGAGAGATCAGAGACGTTTTAGTGTTGTTAGCTATTTAAACCTATTTTACAAACTTTGTTGTGTGTAGTGAACTTGATTTTATACCATAAGAGGTTTCGTACAAAATATTAAACACATTCATTAAGTATGGTAGTAATTTATTTCCCAACAATAAGCCTACTTCTTAAAAATTGTCTTAAAAAGATAACTTCTAATAACAGGTATCTCTGTTCCTTGAGGCTTTTGATGCTAGAAACAAGTTGTTATTTTGAGACATACCTGTTTTCAACATTAGCAAGCCAGTTTTAATACCACGTATGTCCTAAAACTAACTTCTAATAACACGCATCTCAATCAAAGCTAAATTAAATCTATATGGTATTTATTTTTGCTGCGTTCTGTTTAGAATCAATTAATAATAAGTTTTTTGAGTGTTATAACGTAACTTGTTATTTTATTTTTGTGGAAAATACAATATAAGACAGTTTTTTTGTTTCCTAAAAAGTAGCTCATTTTGAGTTACGTGGTATTAGAATGAAGCCATCTAAATATATAAAAGGCAAAGCCCTCACTGACTGACTCACTCACTCACTCACTCATCACTAATTCTCCCACTTCCCATTTACCTAGGAGGCTGAAATTCGGTACACCGATTCTTTGGGCATTAAATAGGAAAACTAAGTAGTTTTTATTCTGATCGGGCTTTCGGGCTCCGCCCCAGTGGCTCTGGAGTTTCCCATGTTAACCTTATGATTTTTCATATTTAAAAGGAATTTCTTAACAGCTGTTTCAATTAAACAAGTTGGTTCTGTCCTATGATGTTCAATAGCATTAAAGTTAAGAGGATTACCAACAGGGTGCAGCACTATTTTTTTTTTAATTTATGACTACTGCCAATTTGCAACCAAAAGGTGAGTGAGCGTAGCGAACGAACTTCAACCTGGAAGCGAGTTAGCATAGTAAACGAGCTAACCTGAAGGCAAGTGAGCGGAGCGAACGAGCTCCAACCTAAAGGTGAGTGAGCGTAGCGAACGAACTTCAACCAGAACGTGATTGAGCCATGCGAACGGGCTCACTTGTGAAGTTAAACGGGGCAAAGCCCGCGGGTACAGCTAGTCGATATATAAAAGGCAAAGCCCTCACTGACTCACTGACTGACTCACTCACTCATCACTAATTCTCTTACTTCCCATTTACCTAGGAGGCTGAAATTTGGTACACTGATTCTTTAGGCATTAAATAGGAAAACTAAGTTGTTTTTATCCTGATCGGACTCTCGGGCACCGCCCCAGTGGCTCTGGAGTTTCCCATGTTAACCTTATGAGTACTCATGTTTAAATGGAATTAATGAATCTTAACAGCTGTTTCAATTAAACAAGTTGGTTCTGTTCTATGATGTTCAATAGCATTAAAGTTACAAGGATTACCAACAGGGTGCAGTACTATTATTTTTTTTTAAATTTATGACAACAGCTAATTTGCAACCATAAGGTGAGTGAGCGTAGCGAACGAACTTCAACCTGGAAGCGAGTTAGCGTAGCGAACGAGCTAACCTGAAGGCAAGTGAGCGCAGCGAACGAGCTCTAACCTAAAGGTGAGTGAGCGTAGCGAACGAACTTCAACCAGGACGTGATTGATCCATGCAAACGAGCTCACTTATGAAGTTAAACGGGGCAAAGCCCGCGGGTACAGCTAGTTAAATATATAGATAGATAATTTTGTACTCGTATATTGAAGAGTTGTTGTATGCCCAACGGTTTGGAGATAATTTAAAAAATTGTAAATTTAACATTCCCATGTTATTCTTATGGAGGATAAATAAACTGTTGTAGTTTGGTTGTTTATGGATATATTTTAATCAAATTTGGCAATTTTGTTTATTTCATACTAAGCTATCAACATAGTTATCAACATTTCAATAAAAATCACACCTCAATATCTTTCCCGTAGCAGCAAACCTAAGTACTCACTAAAATTAATGTTATTTAGAAATAGGAAATAAATCTGGCAATTTTGTGGGAATATTTTAGTAAAAATCGAACGAACCGGGTAAATGGAAATTCGCTTAGACTGCAGGCTTGCTGCGGCGGGGGTATTATTTACATAGATTTTTTGTTCTTGTGTCACTGAATTGTATTCACAGCATTTGTCAGCAACATCAATTTCTGTGTTTTCAAAATATACTGAACTAATAAGTAAACAATTGAAACATAATTCAAAGATTTGAATATAGTCGAGTAAATCCGTAAGACAACCCTAAGAAAATTGCTGTAAATTGTCAAACATCTAGAGTTATTTACGATCGCATAAACCACTCATTCGTTCTGCTAGGGCAAGTCGGCTTCTTAACAAAGCAGTTGAGACCGTCCTTCTGCGTAAAGAACTAATACGGTCACATAAACTCCCTTTCTATTTGTCTTTAGAATTGCTATCTACTAGTAGGACCGTGGGTTAAGGGTGGTCTGTGGTCAATATGATTAGTAGGGTCTAGCCTAGAGATTGTCGTGTTCGGCGGAGTAACATTGCTTTCTTTCAGCTTCATAATATTCTTAAATTCACATTTAGTTTACAACCAAATCAGTTTCGATATAGAAATTCGTTTATTGTAGTTTCACTATACAGTCCACTGATACAACTTGTTCATATTTGCATCAATAAAATCATAGTTCAGTTAAAAGTGTTAGTTTTTATTATTACCAAAATATTGGTGCATCACGCGTGCCGCAGCAATTATTAATAGGTGTGAAAATAAAGAACATAAGCTAAAGTTCAACATACCTATTTTATTTACTTAAATAAATATCACTAGTGGCTTGTAAGGACATAAGTCCCTAAAAAGCTGAATAATTGACAAATTATTTTAATATTTAAACAATCTCATAAATATGTTATCAATGTGTCAGAATAGATATCCCCGTACACCATATCTTTTGTATAAAAAAGCATTTTGGTGTTTTGCCTTTGTTTGCTTTTGTTGAAGTAAAGTCAAAAGAATTGCTGATCTATAGTTTTGTAAAGGGTTTTTTATTTTTTTGAAATCTTTACTAGTTTGTGCAGTTTCTTCCATCAAAGTTGGGTTTTATCCCATAAGATTAACATGGGGGAATCTAAATATTTAATTGGAAACTTTGTCTCCACTAATTTGAGAGAACGGCTGAGCGTAGAAACTTGGTAGAGGTGTCCAAAGAAAGGTCTTGGTCTGTAGATGAGTTATCAAAAGAAAAACGAAGTAAATTCGCTTAGGGCTCTGCCCCAGAAACCTTTAAAGATCCCTCCACAGGTTTGTTTACATTTTGTCATGTGGATAATACTTTTTAATAAAACAGCTGTTAATTTTAAAATTGTATTGTAAACACATATATTGGGAGTTACTGAATTGTCCAAAAGAAGTATTTGCAATGTTTTTTTCTGATTTTAAAATTGATTTTCTTATGTATCATGTCATGTGTTGCAATATAAAGTTCCATTGCGAAATCAGTGGAAATCCTTTTATCACAATAACTCTTACAATCTATATAATTAATACGCTACACGAAACTTTGTCGGTTGAACTCCTCCGCCATTTTTAGCCGATTATATCCGTTGACGTCTCATTAAAAAGAGCGTGTCTCGTCGAACTGTGTTCATGGAAATACATTCACTTATTTAACTAATAATAATAACGACCTATTGTCTTTTTTTAATTGCTATTCCAAAATTCAACAATTTTCTTTTTTCTATTTGACAGCAACTTAGCAGACGCACAGGTAGCACTGCCTATGTCTGCTAGTTCCTTTATTTTATTGTTATAATTTTTGGCTTTTTAAAACTCGTATAAAATATTTTAGTGACAAAAGTCTCTGTCTATTATACTTTATTTAGTTATAATCACAGCTTGTATGTAGCCTATGTTTTTTTGGAATAAACTATATTCATTCATTCATTCATTCATTCGTAGATTTGCAAACTGACCTTACATTTTTGAAAAAAGCCCCTTGGGCTCTGCCCCAGGGGCTGTTAAATTTCCCATGTTATCCTTATGTATAACATTATTGTTTACATTTTGATCAGCTGTATAAGTTATCTGCAGTTATTTATTTTTCAATTCAAAGACATTAAAACTCATCAGAAATTATGATGACTTTTATTTGTTTTTAAATAACTACTTCACTTCTTTGCAATTGCTCGATTTCGAGCAACGTGTTTACTAGTTATTTCTTATTGAACTATCTTATATCTATTTTACGGGTTGGTGTCTGCCTTTTTCACACTTTTTCCTTATATTTTATCATATTATTCTAGACAGATCATCATAGGTTCATGAGATTATTGTCATACATCCGATACATGCTATAAATCATTGGAAAAATCTTCGATTGTGTAATACAACACAAAATAATACAAGTGCAGAAGGGCACGGTACCCATTTGAGCCGTGTCCATAATTTGTTAAATTAATAGTGGTTTACAGCAACTGGATAAAACATTTTACAATATTCATGTAGAAATATGTGCATGATTTAGAAAGTCATTAAGCTGGAAAACTTCAGATGTTTTAGAGAGGTTACTTCGATGTATTCATTCAGCTTAGTAAAAACATAATAGGTATATCTCAAAATAGATAAGTATACAAATAAGAACTTGAACTCTAGAACTCAAAAAAAAATTGCCTTTGGATGTTAGACTAACGAAAAGGGTCTATGCAGATAACATTATTTCTGGTTTTATACAGTATACAGTACATTGCCGAATATACTGGCAAATAAGTATATTTGAATTATATACGCAATCCTCTAAATTATAATATTGCGTACGGTACTGGATTAGTGATAAATCACGATCAGCAGTATTGAAGTAAACAAAAATCAGCTGTAAAATGACTGCTAATGCTATTCTTATGGAGAACACATTACTTTAATTTACTTTACTTTTGTGTAGAAACAGTTTGTTGTTTGTTTTTGTTTGCTTTTGATGATGTTATTTTCAATAGATTATTTGAATCACTCCATAAGTAAATCACTCTGCTAAAGGCAGCAAACATACTTGTTTGTGAATAAATACGGTACTGTCATACTAAGGTAGATTTAGTTTCGTGATTAACTTGCAAAAAAAGGATTCCCTGATTTGAATGTTAGACATTGCCTTCGTGAAATATAAAAAGGCAAATAAAGGCAATGAAGGTGTGTTGAGGTATGCTTAGTTCTTGGCTAAAACAGCTAAATCAAAATAATAGTTTATACTCCTTTTGTAAAAGGTTTAACAAAATTAGTGTGAAGTAAAGGTATCCCATTGGCCAAACCTAATCTGATCAACATAAAAAAACTACAATAATTAGCCTAGTGTAAGATTATTAGGTGGTATTCCTCGTAAAGGTGCGATTGACTTGACACCACCAAATAAAGTTTGACACCACCATAAAATAAGTCTAATCATCAGCTGATTCCTAACTCATTTGCGATTGGACTGGTTCCATTACCCAGTTATCGAAACCAATTACGGAAATACTTTTCATCAGCATTTACATGCATATTTTTGGTTTGTTTAAAAAACGTAAAGAAACAGAAACTACATCTAGGGTTTACTGTTATATATGGATGCTCCATTTACTACTATACCATACTTGCTAGGCTATATTATTTTAAACTTTTTTGCTTGGAACGTAAAGACAGTACCTGTTTCAAATCTCCTCCAAACAATATTGTTTTTCCGCCCATTGGAACTTGTCATAGTACTCACTTAGTTAAGAAATTTATTTCCTGATCAAACCTATTTCATCTTTATTCCCAGGTTATTTTGTAAGAGTAGCCGTTGAGGTTATTTCACTTCATACCAAATATTGATTATATACAATAAATAAAAATTATAGGCCCTATTATATACAATTATATACAAAAATTAATATACAATAAATCTCAAAATTTAAAATGTAAGTTAATTTACAAAGAAGGTGTAGAATAAATCTAGAACATGTGTTTTGAAATATAAACAAAGCAGAAGTTTTCCATCTTGAATCGTTAATTATTTAGTCAACGTGGTTATTTCATGTTAAACGTTAAATACACAAATTTGAAAAGTTTCACAGTAAAATAATTTACTTCAACATTCTATAACCCTAAAAATCTTAATTAATATAGGTAACCTTAACCCTGGTTTTATATAGTATACAGTATGTTGCAGAATTGACTAGCAAATGGAGTAATCCTAATGCAATTTTGCATACTGGCTTAAAGATAAATCACGATCAAACAAGTTTTGGAATTTCACTACCGGTATTTTTCCCGCCGTTACGGGATCGAGACCTTTAATTTGAGCCCTCTCCGGTCGTTCTACAACTTCCCAGTTGCCCACAATTTTGACGCAAAGAATCGGCTTACGTCATTAATATATAGTTGTGTCATAATTTTAAAAATCCGGTACAGCAGTAAAGCAGGATAAAAAATTCAGGCTAAGAATCATGAAACAGTCTTGTTCCCCATCCGTGGGGCAGGACTAAAATTGAAGTTTAAATTTTGATTTTAAAATAGCCACCTAAGTAATCATTCTCTAATTGTTATGGAATATGCTCAGGTTCATTGTTAATAAGTATGTGCAATATTTGATATAATACTAAAATTTGAAGGCTTTACTTTCAATGTCCTTTATTTTATTGTTATATTTAAAAGTGATTGCTAAAACTAATATTTGTAATTGTAATTTATAACATTATAGATTCCGTGCTTGCAATTATACAGGTAGTAATAACGTTTAGTTTTTGAAATCCGAATAGAATTAATAATAAATAAAAAACAGTATTTTCTACCACTTGTAGCTACGGGCCACCAGTTCTGGTTACGATAGTAATAATTCCCTGTGTTGGGAGGGAAACGCCACCGAGCGTCCTTACTCGATATAATGGTGTAGAGCGACGAATTACCCACCCAGCCGTGGCGCGGGGATTTCTGAAGCGTCCGTCCGGGTGAAACACCATTTTGAGGGTGTCCGCGTCAAACACGTCCGGGCTAAACACGGAGCCATCTTCTGTTACATCACCTTTGCAGGAATTGGAAGAGGCTTACTTGTGACAAAGTATAATTTTGTTAATTTTCATTTATTTTGGGAGAAACAAAATTTAATCTACATAAGTGCACTAACAAAAAACATTCTTAAAAAATGCTTCAGATTTGGCGATGGTATGAGATGTTTACTTACAATATCCAAAGTTAATGGTGGGATCTAACTCCAGATCAGAATCAAAAATAAAACAGTGGCTCCTTTTAAAAGAATATTATCTCTGTAAAAGGAATAACGTATAATACTGTGAAAAAATAGTTTTGGAATTGTAGTAAGGATTGAAAAACACTCAAAAATGAATTACAAATATATAATTACAACAACAAAAGCTAGTTTAACGTTTCTTCCAAGTAAACTTTCTCCTTGCACCTTCTTGACCTGGCTTCTTCCTTTCTTTTCTTCTTTTGTCCCTGGTTAGAAGACCCACTAGAACAGAAACACAGTGACTTGCAGAATACATATACATACAACCAAATTAGTCATTCACTCTGTAAACTTTCTAATGAACAAGGTAAACAATTTATAACTACATCAGTATAGTGCCATGAAAATTGGCTACTTAACAGAATAATAGAGATCGATGAACAGATAGCTCACCATTTGGCTGGGTAATACATGGTCACATTTCAAAGGTTCATTTGAAAATCAATTAACAATGCTTTTTTTTTGATCAGAAAGAAAATTTTATAAATAGTTTAAGTGACACATCTAATTAATAAAGTGCAATGTCCGATTTACTCTTACATTAATTACATAATGTTGAGCAACAATTTAATTGAGTCCTGAAAAACATCAGTGTGTGCCCCTGCCCGGCCATGAAGTAAAACAAGTTAAAGGAAAAACTCTTTTGCCATTTGTGTGTAGGTTTATTAACCTTTCAAGTAGATGTGAATTTTTGATCAGACATTAGACTACATGTAAAACTAAGAACAAAATTTGAGATAATTTGAGAAGTATATTTAATTTGATCATAGAGAACAGAGAACCACCAGTCACTGGTGTCTAGAGAAAATTCCATTTGCCGTCACCTTTGCTCTACTTCCTCTCTTGCCATCACGGACTACACTGCTCATGCTATAGGAAGACCCTGTGCACTACAACGGCTGTACAAATATGCTATGTGGCTATCACCACAGAAAACATACTACTCTAACCCAGAACCCTAACCGCATGGTAAAAAGCGTTAAGTACTCGGAGAAAGCTTTGCCTGTCAATTCGTAGGCAGCGCCAACCAGCATACAATGCACCAGCATAGCAACGCTGGTGGCGCTGCCCAGGGCCGCGTTAAGGGTCAGTGGCGCCCTGGGCAAACCCAAAAGCAGCGCCCCCCTTATATATATATATATAAAACTAAGGTTTTGACCACAGTAGTGTAGGAAATGGAAGAGGGGAGAGGGGTTGACTCATCAGTTCGCCGAAATTCACAGCAGGTGGGTTGGGGGTTGGGGTAAGTGCAATGAACTTGACAGTAGTTGCTATGCAAATGCCTCTTGCCCTGCGCCAATAGTTTAATGCACTATGCAGTGATTTGATTACTGTTTGGTACAGTACAGTGTGCAGTTCATTGCGATTGCATTACACACGTATTGAACGAGATTCTACTAAGGGAGTATGTTTTTTTCCATGGTTCTACTATAGGCCTATGCATATATATATTTTTACATTAGCGTGTTTTTTTTTTACCAGTTTTGTTTCAGGTGGGAGTTTTCAATTCCGTATCGGTGGAAATACTGGTTAACTTTCTTTAAAACTGCTTCTTGAGCTTGTTTTCTTTGAGCCAACCGCTTGCGGCTCCCGGTTCCACTAGGTTTTTTATGCATGTTTCACTGTTTATAGGCCTGCTTGTATCAACACTTCTCTATTTATTTATTCCTGGTTCACTAACTGCAGTGTGAGTGTCAACACTGACTAGTGACTGTCACAGTTTAGGTTGTGTTGTTACTGATTTGACGACTGTGCAGCAGGCACAATACGAACACAACCTACTGACTACTGAGGGAGGAGTAGCCTATTGTACTGACTGACTGGACTGGCGCCGCGCGGTAGTTGGTAGTTGTGACTTGTGGGGATGGGGGTGGGACTGCGAGGGAGAGGGGGGCACGTGAACCTTAGGCCTGTAGACTAGAGCTGGCCTACGTGCTATTCCCGTAATTTGCTGACGTCACCCAAATTGCAAACAAAAAATCAGCTCATGTATTGCCATATAAGTATATATTTGTTTTGATTTGATTGTTATTGTTTTAATAATTTTTCTCAGTGGTAAAATGGTGTTTGCAATCTGAGTAACGTCAGCATATGACGGGAATAGCACACCTAAGTACAGTAGTCGCAGCTAGTCTGGGCACGCCGCCGTGCTAGGGCGGGGGGTGTAGAGGGGAGTGTTTATTGCTCATTTCCAAACACATCTGGCCCACAGGGCTCTATGGGGTTGTTCAGCGAGGCTGTGGGGGTGAGCGAGCCGTTACTCTCAGCACGGCTAGTACACAAGGGTCCGCGCACCCAGACTAGCTGCGACTACTGTAGTATTTTCCTTCCACCATGCAGGCCTCCCTGCCTCTGATAGTATAGTGAGTGCGCCCGGTTCACACTGCTGCCTGCCTTTCTCTGACTACAGGAGGAATAACCTGAAGGTCGAGTATTTTCAATTTTGTTCTATTTATTTACTTTTGCAATAAGGGAAAATCACTTAACTACAAGTTGAAATCTCCCATTTTTTTATTTCGGCTGATAATGAGAAACCCCTATTTTTCTAGTGCGGGCGGTGGTTCAGAGCACCACCGGCGCCCCTGGGCATATGCCCAGTCTGCCCGTTTATAAAAGTGGGCCTGGCCCTGCCTATGAATTGACAGGCAAAGCTCTCTCCGAGTACTTAACGCTTTTTACCAAGCGGTTAGCATTCTGGGTTATAGTAGTATGTTTTCTGTGCTATCACCGTTCAGGCTCTTTCTTGCTCGGGTCAAGAACATTTCCGCCCCATCATACCAGAGCAAAGGGTGCATGGTTGTCCCATAAGCTACTCCTCTCTATCTTACTTCCCTGTGCCTAATACTTCCATAAACACAAGATGGTTGTTAGAGCAACTATTTTCAAAGTTACGCTTAATTAATTACTTAAGGTAATTTATTTATAAACATATTTCTGTCAATGTCAATATTACATTCACCAAAAAATACCTAGTCAATTGTACATCAAGGAAACTAACACGAAAATGCCTGCAGTTTAGATACTTAAGAGTATAAGTGGATCAACATTTTAAATGTGGAGCAGAAATAACGTACATGTATATAAGGTTTGTATAATAGTATGTAATCAAAGAGACAACCTAAAATTGTATTTTAACTTTAAATATTCAATGGAACTGGACAAGATATATGTCTGTAAATATGTAATTATGTACATTTTAAAGTTATAGACATTTTTAATACCTTAGTAAAACTCATAACGTTTAACAATGTATTTGACAGAATTAACAACAATCAAACAGGTCAAACTGCATTTAAAAGACAAACTAATTGTATTGAATCACTTTAATAATGGAAACATGAGGAATGTTCAAATTGAGTTGTTTTTAAAGACTATTGAGAAAAATTCAGTTACATGTTCGCAATGCCAATGACTAAGCTTAAGCAGGAAATAGTATTTTTGGTCACATAAACAGCTTGAGACCAAATAAACAAGAGAAACAAAAGAAAGGTATTTGGTTTCCAGCCGTTAGCGGGACTCTTGCAACATTGTTATTGTCAAATATGTTTATTTCCGCTCTAAAAATAGATGGTTTGGAAACCATTGATCGCCTGATACTGTGAATTTAAAATGCTTCAGTGGCTAAGCTAACCTTACCTAATTCAAAAATTCGCTCATAGCTTCCATGAATTTTCATTCTAAACATCCGTCTAGATCACCTTTTGAAAATATTGTTGAGATACACAGCGATTCATATCGGTGTCAAAAACACTAGTGTTGTGAAGTCCCAGGTATCAAAGAATCCCATTACCACCCACCGCTGCATTCAAATCCCCAAAGTTTGAACATCCTATAACATGCTTCTCGTGAATTCTAAAGTTATCATGTCCTCACCAGTTAACAGTCTATAGGCCCTTAAGCTATCAATTTTCACCAACCCCTGACGGCTTTCTTTGTAAATACACACACATAGACAGACTTACCTAGTCGCATCTGTTCAACCATTTCCAGAGGGACAAAACTGCGTAGAGCCATAGACACAGCATAGCGTATAGCCCCAGCCTGCGCCATGTAGCCGCCACCTCTCACCTTAGCCTCAATATCCACCTGGTTCAGCATTCCAGTGAAATGCAAAGGAAACAGCAACTGAAACATGTAGCCCAACATTAGACAAAACTGCGTAGAGCCATGGACACAGCATAGCGTATAGCCCTAGCCTGCGCCATGTAGCCGCCACCTCTCACCTTAGCCTCAATATCCACCTGGTTCAGCATTCCAGTGAAATGCAAAGGAAACAGCAACTGAAACATGTAGCCCAACATTATACAGAACTACGTACAGCATAGCGTATAGCCCTAGCCTGCTCCATCTCTCACCTTAGCCTCAATATCTACCTGGTTCAGCATTCCAGTGAAATGCGAAGCATACAGCAACTGAAACATGTAGCCCAACATTAGAAAAAAACTGCGTAGAGCCATGGACACAGCATAGCGTATAGCCCTAACCTGAGCCATGTAGCCGCCACCTCTCACTTTAGCCTCAATATCTACCTGGTTCAGCATTCCAGTGAAATGCAAAGGAAACAGCAACATGTAGCCCAACATTAGACAAAACTGCGTAGAGCCATGGACACAGCATAGCGTATAGCCCTAGCCTGCGCCATGTAGCCGCCACCTCTCACCTTAGCCTCAATATCTACCTGGTTCAGCATTCCAGTGAAATGCAAAGGAAACAGCAACTGAAACATGTAGCCCAACATTATACAGAACTACGTAGGGCCATTGACACAGCATAGCGTATAGCCCTAGCCTGCGCCATGTAGCCGCCACCTCTCACCTTAGCCTCAATATCTACCTGGTTCAGAATTCCAGTGAAATGCAAAGGAAACAGCAACTGAAACATGTAGCCCAACATTAGGCCTACCGCACACGAGAGACTTTTTGTCGGCCGACTATTTAGTCGTAGTTGGGAGTCAAAGTCGGCCCCATAGTGGTAAATCTGAGCGCGCACACGGGCCGACCGCTGCAAGACAGTCGGCAGACTGTCTGCAGACAGTCGGGGCAGTTTGGTGCTGACCGATTTTCCCGCCGACTGCTCCCCGACTCAACTGTCGTGTCTTATTGATAAAGGCATGGAGATAAGTTTGAACGCGCACACTGACGACTAAAAAGTCTGTCTGTCTGACAGTCGAGTGCGTTGTTATAATGTGTATTATTATTGTTATTATGATAAGTATTATTATTTTGTGTTATTGTTATTATTATGGCTTCGACAACCACCAGTGCATGTGTTTTGAGGGACGAGAAAGTTGATAAACTTATCGATGAAGTTGAGGCACGGTCCCCTCTTTATAAAAAGACTTTGAAAGAGTACTTGGTCATAATAAAAAATACCCCCGCTGCAGCAAACCTGCAGACTAAGTGAATTCCCATTTGCCTGATTTAATTTTTTTATTTAATCTATTTCAATAAAATTAGGATAAATGAGTACCTAGGTTTGCTGCTACAGGGGGGGTATTCAGGGCGTGTTTGAGTAAAACATTAATAGCTGAGTATAAAATAAATAGATTTGCCATGTTTTATCAAAATACATCCATAAACAAGCAAACTACAACAATTTACAGTTTACTTGTTCTACATATAAATGACATGACAATTTTAACTTTAAATATTTTGGAATTTCCCTGTAACCATTATGATAACAATTAGCATGCTAAATTATTTGTTTTTCAAGCTCTGCAAAATGTTTTCTAAAGAAAAAGCGGAATCTTTTGTTTTTACCTTAAAAAAAAAAAAATGGGAAACCCCATTTTTACCCGATAAAACCCCCCATTAACCCCCGTTCCCATAGTCATGCTGGTTCGCGAACTCATTCGAATAAAATACATGTAGATTTACACGTTTTTACCAAATTTCATCAAAATCGGATATTTTTTGGGAGTTATCTTGCTAACGGACAAATATATATATGTGTATGTGTGAATTTGAACGGATAGTGTTTTTGGCCTCTGGGGACATCAAAACGAAAAGGTAAATCGGTCCCGGGACCCGGTCTCACCATGAGACCTACGGTTACAGCTTATTCCCTAAAAGTTATGGGATGGGGTATTTGAAGCCGGGGTATTAACAATTGGTCAAAAAAATCAACACTCATTCATTAGTACATGAAAAATTTGTCCGGATATTTCCTCAAATCCGAGTAATAGTGAGTATAGAGGTAAATCTGGCCTTTCAAGGTTCTCGGACTATAAATTAGATACACCCAGTATTTTCTCTTAAGTTTTCTTGCACGAAATCTTGTCAGTAACGCACATATGACAGCGGTTTCTGTCATATACATCCTTTTGACACTCGAAAGACGACTAAACAGTCGTGGCGTGTGCGCACCCATAGTCAATGACCAAACAGTCTTGACCACTTTTCGATTGTCCACCCAACTCCAGCCAGACAGATGGCCAACAGTCGGCCGACAAAAAGTCTCTCGTGTGCGGTAGGCCTAAGACAATACGTAGAGCCATGAAAACAGTGTCTGTAAAGCCAAGGAGAGGGGGGCCCAGACTAATATCTTTACCAGGCCTGCCAAAGCTGGGTATGACCTTGCCTAGAGTTTTTACGGAGCAGGTTGTTGGCCTAGCATTCAACCCCCAACCTGGAGGACCTTCTTTTCTGGCTTCAACCTCACAAAGACCTGTCTGGCAAAGGAGGCCACATCAGTAGCTAGGCTACCACAGCTATGGATTACTTATTGGGAGTTTTTTAGAATTGCGGATAGATTTCTTTAACTAAAGACAAATTTTGAAATAAAAATAATATATAATGTTAAATGAAGGTCCATGACTCACTTTCAATTTAACAGATTTTATTTAGTATTAATACAATAAAAATCAAACATTTACTGAGTAATTTGAGGTACCAGAAAGAACTTGGTGATGTGTCACAACACAACACTATCATTACTTTAAAAAGATTTGTTAAATATCCAAGACCTATGGTGGATTCCTAGATGGTGGTCAAAAACGTGTTCCCTATTAAAATGAAATACTGACCATCCAAGCTGCCATTTTTAATACTGTAGTGATTATAGTGGTTATAGGTGGTTATACTGTAGTAGTTATCCTGAGGGACCGATTTTTGGAAACTTTTAGTAAGTCACTGCACACCCAACACTAAAAAACCATAAAACGTTTTCTTGCAATTTTTTTTAAGGTCACATCCTATATTTCCCTGACTATTAGTATTTAAACATAATGTTGCAAAACCCATTTAATAGTGTTGACACTACTCAACATTACATTTTCGTATATTGAGACCAAATACATTTTTTAATTCTAAACCCTAAGTTCCGAGTAACAATTAAAACAGTTAATTTGTAGTAGGATTCATCATAATATCCAACAAAATATTAGCAAGTAGAACCAAACAACCAAATACCAGTGTGAAATCTTAAATGCCCTGATCCTTAGTCAACATCTCTATGCATAGTCAAAGATTTCACATAGGCCTAAGTTTTACCAAACCCAGATTAAAATTATTTTCACTAAACATTATAATTGAGTTGTAGTTGCCTACTAGTTTACTGATGGCGTAATGCAGTTCCACAATGTGTTAAAACTGGTTTGCAAACCCAGAAACAATATTGGTTTTCAAGGACTAGGATAACTAAGAACATTAGAATAATATTCTATATTAGTGCACCTATTGCTCAAATTCGAGCAATTGCAAGGTATTACAGGCCTCATTTCAAAACCAATAACAGTTATAATTTCTGAAGACTTAATGCAATCAATCACTCCACTCCAGTTATCGAAACTGAAAATGGACGCTCTTGTGTATATCATGTGATTACTATGAACAGCTGTAATTAATACAAATTATATCTTTTCTTCTTCTTCATAAGAAATACATTGGGATTTTGATGGCCTGTGGGAAAGCCCGAGGACTTTTATTACAGGAATTGGTGAAAGGTAAATCTACACAAAAAATACTTAATTTTGACACATCGTTTGTAAAAATCCGTCCATTATTAACGGAGGAGTAGTGTTTTGTAGAAATCGCCTTCATGTATTATATATATTCTATATATTATATGGAGGTTGGCTTATTTTAATAAAAAGCCAAATGGGGAAACATATTGAAGTTGTTTTGGCATGTGAATAGCCAATAGCAGCGATGCAAATTTAAAAATTCTCTGCAGGCAATATTTTTTAAATCGTTTATTTACCATTATTATTTAGCTTAGTACAGTTTTTAATGATTGAATGAAATCATTGTTTTGTATAAAAAACTGTTAAATTTAATAGTTATTTAAATTGAACTTATAGTTTCCAATCCAGGTGTATCTCGAGTTTGTTAAAGAAAGATTTAGAAAAACAAAATCTGCTTGATCTGAAACTACTTCTTTCACAAATCACTATTATATTCTTATGCTAATCTATTTTGTCCATTGTGATTTAACTTAATTCTAAAAGTTTATATCTAGGTTTGTCAACATCAGGAAGTGTGTTAGATCCGGTTTGCAAGGCCAAGAATGTTGAACAGTTTGCAGACAATCTTTGTATTTATTGGGCAACCTCTATTGACCAGCAAGTGGTGGCCAATCAAACCGGTTTCGAAAGAATTCATTACTGGTAATATATTATATTGCATTATCAAGCCATTGTTTCAAACATAATGAATGTGAAGTTTAGAAGATTAATAGCATACAAAGAGAACAATAGCATACCAAGAAGTAATAATGGTTTTGAGTCATTACTATACTATGTATGTCTTTTGTTAGAGAGACTTCTTCTAAAATGCAAAGTAAGTTTTCCTTGATTGAAAGTCCTATCCTTTTCGTTCCCTAGGTGCTCTAAAACCCTGGGACATAACATTACCACACACTTTAAGTTTAGTGATTGACGAGGCTTGAACTCCGGCCTCCATGACATAAGTCACGCTTTGCCCAGCCGTAACCCTACAACTATGCACAAACTCGTAGAAGAGATACTGATAACATTTGGTAAACTTTCAAATAAAAAAAAAATCTTCACCAATATTTTTACATTTTTTTAATGAGGCCTTTTAATATTCAAGCCTACTTCAAAGTTTATTTTTATACATATATAGTTTTATTTCTATAATTTTACCTAACAGCATGGTGGAAGGAAAATACATAGGTGTGCTTGCCCGTCATATGCTGACGTCACCCAGATTGCAAACAAAAAATTACCTGATTGTATTACCGTATAAGTATGTATTTGTTTTGATTTGATTGTTATTGTTTTTATAATTTTTCTAAATGGTAAAATGGTGTTTGCAATCTGAGTGACGTCAGCATATGACGGGAATAGCACACCTATGTATTTTCCTTCCACCATGACCTAACAGTACTTAACAATATTTTTTTCATATTTAACTAACCATTTAAAATTTATTATTGTAAACTTAAACATAACCTTCAGTTTTTGTGATGTGTCTGATGATCCATCTGGCAAAGGGCCTCATAAAAATAAAAAATAAAAAATATTGTTGAAGTTTTCATTTTAAAATTGAATAAATTTGAATTTTAATAGGCATTCCGTCCCATGTTAAATTTGTAGCCAGTGACAGATTTTGGTGATCTAAATTACTGATTTCGGTCGAATACACAATCTTTTTTACCAACTAACTAATGGAATGACTTATGGTGAGCTATAGCAACTGTTATGACCCATCAACTTGACCAGCAACAAAAAATAAGGTAGAAAATCGAGTTTTGGCCACTAGCGCATTCTGTGACTGGCTCACTTTAACAAAACATTGGCTACAGCTGATCCATATAGATGGGACCTCTACTTCAGTATCCAATAAATAGTCAATGATAAAACCCAATATTACCAGTTCTTGATGAAGATTTGGTAAACTATCGTTAAACATTGGGAACTGTTAAGTAGTGCATTTACAATCACATTCCTTTTACAATTTCCAAATGTAAGCTGTACATCCATTGATAACACATATTGTGACATAAAGAAACCAACTGATTTTCCCATGTTTAGGATGTCTATCCATTGATAACCAACACATATTGTGACATAAAGTCAAACCAACTGATTTTCCCATGTTTAGGATGTCTATCCATTGATAACCAACACATATTGTGACATAAAGTCAAACCAACTGATTTTCCCATGTTTAGGATGTCTATCCATTGATAACCAACACATATTGTGACATAAAGTCAAACCAACTGATTTTCCCATGTTTAGGATGTCTATCCATTGATAACCAACACATATTGTGACATAAAGTCAAACCAACTGATTTTCCCACGTTTAAGTTGATGTTGTGCTTATTACTCACAACAATAATTCTGGTATTGACTGTTAAAAACACTGCAAGCATTAAACTGATTATTATTTGAGTAGTGTTAAGAGTAGTGAGTAGTTGAGTAGTTATTATTACAGTAGAGTCCCGCAAACTCGGCTCTCGATAACCCGGCAGTCTGGATAACTCGGCCATCACCTGGCTCAGAAAATTAGTGATTTTTTGAGTCTGTGTTAAAAATGGACTCAAGCCAGCTCAAGCAAATCATTCGCAACTCATACCAAGGATTTGTTGTACTATATCTGATGACTTAATACTGACTTGTAATATAAATATAAATAAAAAAAGCGGTTAAAAAGCTAAAAAAATTGTATTTTTATTATTTTAAACCCTTGTTCCTGATAACCCGCCATTTCACAAACTCGGCATCCTTCCAGTCCACATTACGCCGAGTTTGCGGGACTCTACTGTATACGTTATTATGTTAAGCACATAAACATAGAAATATGTTTTACAAAGTAATTTTTCTCTTCAATTACCAAAAACAAATATTATGCCTAAAATCTAAATTTTTCACATTTTATACATGTTTTAGAGAACACTTTTTTGAAAGTAGGCAATTAATTAAAAGATTAATAACTGACAAACCAATAACCAAATATAAAAGGACATTAATAGATAACAGATATAAATTGGAATTATTTATTTATTTACACATATTTACATCAAATTACAGTGATTGAATTATGAAGAATTTACACTATACAGATTATATAAAAGCTAAAAATAACATTGAGGAACTTTTTATAGTGACAACTTTAACTTAACACAGATATTACTTTTATTACCACCAAAATTACAGTGCAATATGATCTAAGTCACAAGTAAATAATTGATTATGTACAATATTCAACTTTAAAATCACATATATTAATAATGTAACATATTTCATAAAAGACTACAGTATCATATTACTTTGATACTAAGCAACTGAGGTGTGTACTTTACAAAAAAGTAATATAAATGGTAACATTTTTTATTTGAATTTAGTTAATAGATTTTATTGAAAATGTTAAAATTTTACAGCTAACTTAAAGTAACAACCGTACAGTATAGCAATATTGAGATTTATTCTAACTGTCCACATTGTATTTTTTTATATGTCCTACCTTTACATCTAGGATGATAGGTATTAAAAGACCATCATTGTATTACATACAGTAAGAACAAAAACCTGACTTTGACAGTGTAAAGTGATTAAGTATTATCTTGATACTATTCAAATCTGCTAACTTAATTATTTAAGATCGCTATTCAATTTATGAAATTTTATGTAAACAAAAGTTGTCTGTTACACGCACAACCATAAAGTGTATTTGTATTCCCAGATTGGCAAGAAAATTATTAAATTGAGGATTTTAAGTCACAAGAATTAGATTTGAAGTTTTTAATAATAATTGTGTGTAAGGCTTACAGGGAAAATTTGTTTTCTCTCATGATTAAATTATACTATTTGTTTATTCTATTGACTAGATTTTTGGATTAAATATTATTCAACTTTTTTTCTAATTATAATAACTCAATGTTAAAGGTTTGCAGTTCTTAGGATGAAACTAGGAAAATGTCTATTTAAACCTTCAAAAGTAATAGAAAATCTTTACAGTATTAATTATTTGGAACTTGGAACAAATAAAACATCTACAATGGTATTTTAACAAGCAGAATGCAGTACATTTTAACTGGCGTTTTGCTATATTTTGCTTTATTTAATTAATCAATATATATAAGTACAAAAACTATTTACTTGTACAACCCTTCATTAGTTTCAATACAAAGGTTGTGCTAGAATTTTGTTAATGAAATCTATAACTAAATTTAAATGTTCAAAAAAGCCAATATATAATTAATTGTTTGTTAAATATTGTTTGGTAAAATGTGGTATTTTTCCACTGTTAAACAAGCGTAAAGCTCAACTCGATATATTTGTTCGATCTAATCTAAAAGTAAACAAAGGTTACCTAACAAAAGTTTCCATTTAAATATGTACGTTTGAATTGGAGTGTAAAACAACAACAACCAAATTTTATATATATAAATATACCTTATCCTTATAAATTGTTAGAACAAAACATTCTTAAATTTTTTTTAAGATTTAACCAAATCTATTATACTTATAGCAATGTAATAATGGTAGTAATGTGTTTGAACCAACCTATTATTTACTCAGAAAGATCTTTGGCAGAACCTTTACTCCCGAGAATCTGAAGCAGCTGATTCACACTCTGCTGCTGCTCCTGAAGTAACTGCTTCAAGTTTCTCACCTCTTCGGACAGCTGTTTGAAGCTGTCCTCTTTGGCGTCACTGGCGTACCTGTGGGTAGCGGTGGGTGCCAGCGTATTGGTATTACACTTCCTGCGTTCTCTGGCAATCTCATAGGCAGCCATCAGAATCTGTTTGGGCAACCGGTTCTCTCGAGGATTGAGAGGTTTGACGTGAAGCACCACGCGGTAGGCTGACGGCGACACCAACGCAGGCCACTTCAGCACGTCGATGATCTTCCGTGGTACATAACCTTGAAACAGCGCGATCTCCAGGAAAGATATCAGCTCGGTTTGTCTCACAAGTTTGGAAAGTCCAGCAGTCTTGTGAAGGCCTTGTATATCGTGGACTGCGATACCAACCAGCAGGTTCATGAGCACCACTGTGACGAAGAGTAGGAACAGAACGTAGGTGATATGTGCGCTGATATCGAGGAGAATGTTTTTCCCATCGGAACTAGTAAGCATCGCCATATCAAGCTCTCCGGTCATCATCACCAGAACCTTAACAAAACCGATCAGAGGATTGTTGAAGTCCTGAGACATGGGGAAAATCACACAAAAACTGACGGTGAATCCGATAAGAAGAAAAGCGTAGGCTAGAAATAATTTAGCAAACTCTCCTTGCACTTTTGTGAACATCGCTACATAAGTTCCAAAAATCGGATGTTGTCCAATCATGACCATCAAGTTCGTCCAGGCGCAGAGTACACCAAATGCACCGACATGGTTCTGCCAAATGTAAGTTCTTCCGGTGTAAATGAACGAGGTTGCAAATACACTGAACACTGTATACCATTCTATCATGTTTGACCACTGGAAAAAATACTGTTTTGTAGACCGATAGCCGGCCAAACCGAGGAGTTTTCTGAAAATTTCTACAACAGTAAAAACTACGAGAATGTACCACGTTACCTCTATGACATGTGGATTGCTGATCAGCATTGTTCTCACCATGGAGTTATTGAGACAAAGTTCTTGATCACTTATACTGGTATTTTTAGCAGCATTGTAACAATTATGAGCTAGGGCAGTCATAACATAAAGTGTTAAAAATATCACAAAAATTGCACTTAGAAATAGTCTCAAAAAGTAAAACCTTCTTATCTTCTGCCACTTTAGACACAAAAAAGCACCACAGAGAGGATGCTCAAGCATATTTTTTTGGCCTTCGTCTACTAATGTTTTTAAAAGACCACATTCTCCATTAGACGAATGTTGCAACAAATATCTGAAATCTAATTTTACCTCAACCTCACGGTTAGAAGCTTCTGGGTCGTGGAGGGATATTGAACTATCTAATTTTTTACAAATAGTCGCCAAACAAGCCGGTGTTTTTCTACTTATAATACTGAGAGGTGTCAACCCACCTTTAGTTTTGGCACTCACATCGGCACCTTTCATGATCAAAGCATCGACACACTGGGACAACTCGTTTAGTGCAGCCACATGGAGAGCAGAAAACCCATATTTATCTCTTATATTTACATCGGCTCCCCATGAAAGTAAAGTTTCTAACGTATTATATGCCAGTAAAGCTTTGCCTACAGCTGCACGCAGAGGTGTTATGTTGTCAGCATCTACGGCATTCACATCTGCTCCGGCCTTCAACAAAGTTTCCACACATTCCACACCCTGACACTTTGCTGCCAGATGGAGAGGGGTTTGTCCCTTGCAGTTTTGTTTGTCGACCAAAGCACCTTTAGAAATCAGCATAGAGACACAATCGGCGTATCCTCCTTCACTTGCCAAGTGCAAAGCTGTGTTCTTCTTCTCCTTAGTCTCCAAGTTCACATCTATCTTGCAGTCCAACAGAACTTTGAGACACTGCTCCATCCTACGATCAGCTGCGATGTGCAAAGGTGACATGCCAGTGGAGTCCAAGCAGTTGACATCTACCAGCTTCTGACGAACCAGAAGCGACAAACATTCTACAGCGTTCACTCTGACAGCGGAATGTAGCACAGTATCCTTCAAATCTGCACGGTGTTTCAACAACAATTTAACTGTCTCTGTGGAATTCCCAAGCACCGCACAATGTAAAGGGGTGTATGACTCCGGCATCAAGTTTATATCACAATTTTTCTCTATCAACCATTCAGTGCACCTAGCACAACCGCTGAAAGCGCTCAAATGAAGACAAGAAAGTCCTTCACCTGGCAAAGTAAAATTCACATCGACACCTTGTTTTTCTAGAACCTCCAGAAGGTCTAACTTTTTCAAAAACGCACACCATAGAAAAATTATATTCCTCTCGATTTGTGTACACTTAGACGTAAGCGGGTCCAGATCGTTGCTTCCCAAATGTCCGTTCTCAATATCCAACAGTATCTTCACGTCTCGTGACACCATCCGCATGTTGTCTAGGATAGTGTGCCTGATCGTGTCTTTGCAGATCTTGATGCTCAGTTCGTCATGGCTGTTCTCCTCCTCGAAGAAGACCATTCCGACGCTGTCCGTGGCGGGCGGGGAGTCTCCGAAAGGCAGTCGCTCGGACGCGGAGTCGTGCATGGAGCTCCTGAAACTCTTCCAGCGGCCAATCAGCGACGGAGTGACTGTCTTGGTCTTGAGGTCGTGGTAAGGTCTGTTGTCAGTATTCATGCTGACAGCGCGGTCTAGACGTGTTCGCGGCATCTCGCTGTGATCGACACTCACGTTCAACTACTCCACTACACGCACACAAACACTACCAACTATCCGCATGGTCGGCAACTAACTGACTGTGACTGTGCACTGTGACTGACCCTCTCTATCCCTCCCTCTCTCTATCACTCTATCTCTCTCTAGCGCTCCACGTTCAAGGTCGCCGCGGTTAGGACTTTGATCTAGTTTAACGGAGCTATCCCCTCCCACACACAGACATACCGCTAACTCGCCACCCGCTCTTGTTTTGGTAAAACCGCGCAGGTCGCTATTCTACTCAACAATGAACAAAGCATATTCCGGTTGGTGACGCATGCCGAAGCGCCAGTGGGAGAAAGTCGCGAGGTCAAGTAGTGATACTTTCCCCGGCTCCAGGTCCACATTTATTTATGAGTTCAACGTTTGTAGGAACTTTAATGCGACTCGCTTTAGGCTACTTATTTTACTATCATAGTTTTTGCACTCCTAAGGGGTTACTCACATATTTTTAGGATTGTGGAATATGTCATTCTTTGCCTCAGGGAATTTTTGGAACAAGTGGTTGTCGATTTTATTTTGCGATTCTGACCAGGTGGTTGTTGGTGGGGGGGGGGGGGGGGGGGGGGATCGGTGAACCTTGCATTCTAGTGAATTAAATTGCAACACAATACAGTTTGATGTAACAAGTGTATTAGGCTCATCACTTAGATAAAAGAAGTACCTTGGCATAGGCCTAATACGACATCACGCTATACAGGACAAACTAGTTGAATGTTATCGTGGATGTTATTTATAGCCTACCGTATAAATTCTATATTATTGTACAGAGACAACTTAGCAAACTTAATGTCGATCTCACTCTAATTCAAATCACATCGTTAACTTCGACAACTGTTAAAAATAATCGACCCTGGCATTATATAACTGCATTGAAAACATCTAAGTTGTAATAATTATGTTATGATATGATAACGTTACTATATATCGTAATTTATTCGGGCCCGATTGGTCTGGACGTAAATATAAAGTTAGAATGTTCGATTTGCATGAGTTAAACACAACTAACGCCGTGAAACGCAATATCTGAAAATAACTTCCTAATGAGCACATGGTATCCCTAGGATATCCCATACAAGTTCCAATATCCCCTATTGTTCCGGAATTTTGAAATGCCATATTGAACATCCCAAGAATATTCTCTTAGGGACCAGCTGTTTCCGCTAAAAAAATATCCAGAGGTTAATCAAGTATTTTTTGATCAACTACTTTGAGTGTACACGATCAGTTTATAATCAATGAAAATTTCACACAACACAGCCAGCAAGTTCTCTGAAGTGAAAGGGGGTTGTAAATAATGCAAAACCGACGTGCAAAAACTAACACATTCCCAACACTTAACGTAGGTAGAATTTATTTACCGAGGGTAAACAGACCGGCAAACGATGTGGCGACATTCGGTTGTCTTGACTCTCAAAGAAGGTTTACAGACAGACCGTCTGATTCTGTAACGTAGCCATCGGAGATGTGCAATTTACAATGTGGACTACTGCAGCAACGTCTGACCTGCATATTTTGTACGGACAGTAAAATGTTAATGATGTTCGTAGGAAATTATCAAGGAAAAGGGTGTCGAATTGGTATTTTCCCCCAAGAGCCGGAATAAAAACTCTCCTCTACAAACAATTATTATGTATACTTTTTTGGACCAGCGCCAGAAATCTATCAAAATAGTTAAAAATATACCTACTTATTTGTCTCTACAATCCTTATAATAGGCCTAATGATTTTCACTTGTTTTCGACTGAAAATATGAATATGGTTTCAACAAAACTGTATAGGCTAAATGAAAATAAATGTTGTTGTTCTGAATCGTCACTAGCTTATTGTCGTAATAAATTATTTTTTGTATAACCAGCAACTGTTATCATGCTGTTCCAGGAAGAGATAGCTATTTTTGAGTTTCTTATACTAAACGCATTGATCTCGCTACAAACTTAAAACTCTGCACTGCAAAACCACAAACTCATCCCCAAGTCGTACTTGATTCCGACCATTCGGGACAAAATGGCGGTACACGAACATAATGTTACGTCTTCCTTAAACCAATTTTAGTAGCAAAACTATTTCAAATTAATTCTGGATTTTTACAATTTAACTTAAGTAAAAAATTAAAGTAGTAAAGAGAAAGGATAGTGGTATATCATACATACATTCATATTAATTCACAATCCTTTATTAAAATTGATGCCCATAAATCACCAAGCTATTTTTTCAGATTGATTTTAAAATATCCAAATAGTATCTAAAAAATAGTATAAATAGTATTATGTATTAAGTTTTCGTCGATGACGCAGGGAGAGATAAATACATTTAGTATACATATCCAAGTAGCTATTTGGAGTTATAAAAGTAGACCAACTTCCATACACATTACACACTGTCAGTAAACAAACTGTACTAGTCGTGTCATAAGTCTTTGTTAAAGGGAAAATTATCATTTTGCAAGCCAGTTTGCTGTTATACAGACCCTATGCAAATTAAACACAGCCTAAACGTAGGCTTATTAATCTCCTTCAGAACTAGAAGTGGCATTGTCTTGAACCAACACTATATTATCTTGTTCCAGCGGTCACTTGAACTGATAGTGCTAAATAACTTGTTCTGCGAAGATACTTCAATGTCTTTAGACCCGTGGTTGAGGTTTTATCTGAAGGGGGGGAATGGACCATCTTAATAATTGTAAGGTTCCAATATGTTTCGATCTGGTATATAAACAAATAAAATAAATAAAAATCCAAACCGCAGCAGACCTGCTGACTAAGCGGATTTCAATTTGTCTGAATGGATTTTATGTAAAACATTGCGATAAACAAGCCAAGTTTATTCCCAATTTAAATGGCCAGGGTGTCCACAAAAAATTGTCATTAATTTCCATGACCATTTACCATTGATTTCCATGACTCACGAATTTTAACTTATATATAACATACACACACTGTAGATTTTCGGTAGCGTGCGTAGAGTGGATGAAGTGGACTTTATTTGTTGCGGTCGTCTCACCTTCAATAAGAGATGAGTATTACTTTGGTGGACGATTAAATAACCAAAGAGTAAATCATTGCGATTGTTGGAAATGGTCCCTAAAATGAGGGAAACAGCTACCCGAAAAAATCAATATATAGCCGGACACTTAACACGCGCCAAAAACGTATTTGTGTTTGTAATGATTCTTACACGATTGCGTCATATTCCTAAATGACTATAATGTTAATGACGTCATCCCCTGCCACCATGATCACCAGTTTTCATCTTCACCTTGGAGATGTTTGTCTTCTCTCAAAAACGTGCAGCTGTTTGTCACAAACAAACAGACTGAAAGAATGCAAACGTATGTTTGTTTTCCATCTTCGGTGAGGCTAATCTCTCGATTGTACAAAAATCGTGTCCTTAAACAATGTGTCATCCACTACATTTGAGCGCAAATCAATAACAGGTTTCATAATGTTCGAATATATTCTGCTTGACTAAATCGACTTATTCCCCATTTAAACGAATAATTTTAGGACTAAAATGGCCGCGAACGACTCTTTCCTTTACACTTTGTGGTTGTGCTGTGACGCAAGTTTGTTAATTGCATTCTTAAGTTTTCAATAATTAATGACGTATTTTCCGTTAACCTGCTGCAAAACAACTGTTTCAACACATTCGTCGTAGCTAAAGTAATTATTCCCATCCAACCATTTCATACAAAGACTTTTACAAGTTACCATATCCAACCGCGTCAACTTATTTTTACCCTGATTTCTTCACGTTATCGCTATAATCATGTGAAAGCTGTTTCGGGGGGCGGGGGGGGGGAGGGGGGAGTGGCCCTATTGTGAGGGCTTTGGACCGTAAACGTGCGTAAAAATATAAGCGTGGTTAATGTAGCACCAAACACCTTAAAGAAATAATTGATTGCGGTACAAATACCTACAAAACCCCCCGCTGCAGCAAGCCTGCAGACTAGGCGAATTTCAATTTACCTGATTTGATTTTCAATTAAATCTATTAAAATATCTATAAAATAACATAAGTTTAACAAGTATCTAGGTATGCTGCTACAGGGAGGGTAATAAAGTGTGTTTTTTTAGTAAATAGCTTAGTATAAAATAAATACAATGACAAGTTTGATCAAAATATATCCATAAACAAGCAAACTACAACACAACTTATTCTCCATAAGGAATTCTCCACATGGGAATTTTAAATTTACAATTTTTGTAATAGTTTCCGTAGCCAATAACCGTACAAAAACACTTCAATGCACTAAATCATTTGTTTTTATGCTCTTTAAAATGGTTTAAATAGAAATGCGGGAATTTTCTTTTTAATGGTAAAAAAACCCCATAAACCCCCGTTTCCATGGTCCGATCGCACTGGTTCACAAACTCAATCAAATTTATCCTGCATTAATTCCTTCAAGCCAAATTTGATTTAAATTTGACAAAATTTACTCTAGTCATTGCGTTTACGGACGACATAATATATAAAAAAAAAAAATATTATTATATACATAAAAAATAAATACATACACAAATTTGAACGAATAGTGTTTTTGGCCTCTAGGGACATCAAAATGAAAAAGTATATCAGTCGGGGCTAATTCGCTAAAAAATATGCCAATATGTAAAAAAAATCGAAATCTATATTTTTATCATTAAAACACTATTGGATCAAATGACAACTGAACGATTTAAGTTGACAACTACAAGGGGTCTGCATTCTTGATAAAGACGAATTTGCGATTTTGGAATTGAACGGCAAAACCATGGGGTTTTGGGTGTGCCAAAAACAAAACATCTATGTAAATACTTAACACGAGCTGTTGCAGAAGAAAACAAATTAACGATGGCACGGCAAGGAAAATAAACAATTGACCTTGCGAGCAGGAAAACCCATTGAGTCGGATCTCACGACCTTGAACTATGAATCCTTTGTTATCCAACCATCTTTGGCTGCATCCATCGCCTAACACATAACCATTAGTTAAGCACACTTCTTCACATATCTGGCTGTCACAGATATGGATAATCTGAAGACAAATGTGAATATCTAACAGCTTGATTCAATTCGTATTTTTTGTTATGATTTTGACTAAGTTAACTTCAAAACTATTTCGACCAAAATACAACAGAAAATGTTCTGTAATTAACTGGTGCTATGTACTCTGATATTTTAAGAAAAACGTACACCACCATAAACTACAGTATCTGTGTTGATACTTAATATTTTCATATTTTACAATAGGCACAGAAGTCTACTTTTACTATTTAAAAATCATTGGTTTTATTTATGATCAAACTCTCCACAACAACACCAAAACCTCAACCACGGAGAAC